TGTTAAATGCATCCTTTTTGGTAATGAAAGCAGAGCTTTTTGTATCTAAACTCAGCTACTGCTTTTTAATGTTTCAGAATCTTTTCCTCTGTAAGATCTCTTTCAGAGGTAGGCAACTAAACTTCCCATGAAGTCTGCTGAAATTGGCAGTTATATCTATAATAGGAAAAGGAGTCATGATATTACATTGAAGTGTAGTTCTGAAAGGGTTTGCAGTGTTTTTGGGATGAGGTAGGGAAAGGAACGGATTTCAGGGTAAGCACACCTTTTCCAGTTTCCTCTACATTACCTCAGTAATATATTTGGTCTTTGTGTGACAGTCAGCAAGAGAAAAGAATTGTAAAGCTAGTAAGGAATATATTTCTTACAATGTGAAATGTGAATGTTTGTAATAAAACAAGTCATCCTTACAGTGGATACCAAAAATTTGTAAATTAAAAGAGGCAGCAAAAATTAAAATGTGCAGAACGATAAAAGTATGCAATAGAAATGCAAGGAGGAAATGAAGGAAATTGCATTTGCACATATCAGCTCCTGTGTTTGGGAAAGAGAGGCAAAAGAGTGACGAAGAAGAACTGTCCTTAATGACTTCAGAAGTCCTTAACAATGTGAACAGAATGGATGTAGCTCCAGGACCTCTTCAGAGCACACCGTCTTATGGACATGACAGGATGTGAAGATTAAGTAGCTCGTTCTGTATGGTAGTTAAAGTGATGCAGTGTAGAAGCAGGCTCTGTTGCTGGTAATCTTGACATTTTATCTTTTTTGTTCTGGTTTTGCAAATCTTTGGTGTAAGGTAATCTAAAGTCCATATTTCAAAATAAGGTAGAAAAGACAGGACATCCTACTCTTTTTCCTTTTTGAAAGTATGTTGAGCCTTAAAATTTGGGAGCCAGACCACTCCAAAAGTTTCCCTGGGAGATCCAAAGGCAATAAGATGTACCTGCCTGATTGCTTATGTGGTGTGAAAGAAAACTCTTTCGGGGACTAATATAAACCTAGCCCGGTAACTAGGTCTTAGTTTCTTGCAAGCTCCCAACACTGCTAGAATGGCTGTAGGGAGGGGCTGTGGTCTTTACTGGAGATAGTGTGTTTCATTTAGGGTCAGTCCACATGAAAACTGCAACTGTGGTATGTACAAGAAGTAAAGTCATGGCTCTGTGGAAATCATACCACTCCAGCATCAACACGAAGCCCTATTTTACCGTAGTTAATTTTTAGCATATGTTAGATCATAATAGGAAAAGACAGGATTTTTCTGAAGGTCTAAAGGAGGTAAAGAGAAGTGTTCAGTGCTGACAAATACTGATACCTATGTGTAATCTCTCTTTCTTTTCCCCTTCCTCCTTCTCAAAGCCTGAAAATATAATGTTGTTGGACAGGAATGTACCAAAGCCTCGAATCAAGATTATTGACTTTGGCTTAGCCCACAAAATTGACTTTGGAAATGAATTCAAAAATATCTTCGGAACGCCAGAGTTTGTTGGTGAGAAAACTGTTTTTTCTTCAAACTATTTTTTCTCAGTCTCTGAAGCAGAATTTGTGACTTAGCTTGGTTTACTGATTTACAGATTATGTAATTTGTGTGTAGTTCATGACATTTTGAAATTTAAATAAGCAATTTGCAGCATTCGGTTTCAACTTAAGACTTGCATTAACGTGTTCATCTATCAGCATCTTAGCTTAATACCTGTGACATAGATAGGCTCAGAGTCAGACCTAGATCTGTTCTTTGGCTAGGTACTGATCTTCCTGCTTTTTCCTTTAGCTCCTGAAATAGTAAATTATGAACCTCTTGGTCTTGAAGCAGATATGTGGTAAGTTATTGGACCTTACCTGAAATAAATCTCTCATGGTTATTCTTATGTTCTAACCTTTTTTTTTCTCTCCTCTCTCTCTTTTCATCTGTTTCTCTCTCCTCTACCACATCCTTTTTTTATTTGTTTTTTCTTCAATCCAGGAGCATTGGTGTAATAACTTATATTCTGTAAGTACCAAAATCTATGGGTGGTTCTTGCAAATGCTGTTGTTTTTTAATTCTGATTCTGTGATCTGGGGTTTTGTTGGTGTCTGTACAAGTCAAGCCATTTTGATTGCACATTCTGATTCAAGTTGTATGATAATAAAACCTATAGTGTAATTATTGAAAGAATTACCATTGATCAGCATTGAGATAGTATTGGAAACTCTTCAAATCTGTAGGTGACTGTCCTACATCTTTATCTTGACCAGTATTTTTTGAAATTACAGCAAAGCTTTTTGCCCTGCTAGATCACATCTTCCTGAAAGCACGTTTGCAGCCTTAAAGCGGAAAATAGAAATGTTCACTTCGTGCTGTTATTTGTTCTCAGAGGGTTGAAGCAGCAATGGTACAATATGTAATGAGAGAAATGTTCTACCTTTCTTGCAGTCTAAGTGGTGCATCTCCATTTCTTGGAGAAACCAAACAGGAAACATTAGCAAATGTGTCTGCTGTGAATTATGAATTTGAAGAAGAATTCTTCAGTAATACCAGTGCCCTAGCTAAAGATTTCATACGAAGACTTCTAGTCAAGGATCCAAAGTGAGTTGTTTTACATGTGTATGCACTTTTGCAGCATATGTATCTAGTATTTCAAATTACATGATATTTTGAGATGTTAGTTTAATGAACATAAGGCAGTATATATTTTTTACTGTCTGAACAGTTCTGTCTTTTATTGTCTTAAAGGAAGAGAATGACTATTCAAGACAGTTTGCTGCATCCTTGGATCAAGGTTAGCATGTAATTCATTCTCTGTTGTCCTGTTTTTGATCATTCCTCATTTCATACTATGCATTCATTTTTCAAGTTCCTTAACAAGGAAGATTAGCATAATTGTTTAATATAACTTACTGTTTTGGAAAGCTGTCTATATGAAATCTAACACATGCAGAATGTGGGCTTCATTAATATATGCTCTATGTAAGTTAGCAATAGGGAAGTAGTCCACCACTGAGTTTAAAAACGTGCTAAGGCAAAGAAGCTAACCTTCAGAGGACATTGTGTTGACAAAGATACATTCTCTGAATCCAGTCCAATTTCCTCTAATTTTTCATCTTCTAACCCCCTTATTTAGATTAAGGAAAAAAGAGCAATCTCTCTCTTGTCCTTCCCCTTTAGACTGAAGAAAGCAGTTGGTGGCCCACTTCTTCAGTGGTTCAGTGTTTGGTTTGGAGCAAGCGGTTGTGGTGCTACTGGGCTGAGAGGGAGAAAATGGCACCTATCATCCTTTTTAATGTGTATAGTAATACCTGGCAGTTAATTTTTTTAATTCCGTATCTTACTCTGACTGTGACTAGTAAACTCCTTCAGTGCCATTGATTTCCCAGGTCTTGGAGATGCACGGTGGGTATTTGACTCTATTCCACTTCCTAGAGAACCAGTTAGCAGAATATTTGTCTGTGTCACAGCTGCTCCAGTTCACAGTACAACATCCTAGAGCAGACATTTCTGCATCAGTATGCCAAACACTACACTCTGCTGAGTTTTTGCTTAGGTAATCTTAAGTAGTTGAAATGTGTTGAACATATTGAAATGATATTTTAAACCACTGCAGCAGGAATTGTCCAGGTTTGTCTCTCAAGGACCAAGGCCCACACTGCTGCAAAGAGACAGGTTGTTTTGTACCCTGTTACTTTGCCTTATATCTTAACTTTCCAGGCATTCTACTCACACCCCACTGGTCTTATCCTCTTTTCCCCTTTCCTATCACTATCTTTACCTATATTTCCATGGCGGTTAAAACTAGATGATCTTTAAGGTCCATCCCAACCCATGATTTCTCCATAAAAATGACATCAAATATGGGGTCATAAAATTGAAAATTTCATATGCTCCACTAGTCGTTGGTTGTTAGTATTAGCCATGAGAAAGTTCAAAGGATGCAGCCTTAGAGCTTGCTGCACTGGTAGGTGTGATATGTTGTTTGTTTTTTTTTTACTGGGTAAGGGGGTGTTCAGCAGCATCCAGGTGATTACACTGAGACTGTAACAAAGTTTGACTGCATTTCCAGAAAACAAGATTTATCGTAGAAATCAAATGCCTCCATCAGAGAGGGAGGTGAAGGACAAAGTTGAATGTTCTGATGTGTGGTTTTTTGTTGTATTTAAAATGAAAAAAACACGTTTGTGTTTTGTATTGCATAGAATATTCTTAGGTCTGGGTTTCCTTTAGGGTATTTTCTTGGGAAATTCCATCTGTATGCCGCGCTATACTGTGGATGTTCAAATTATGTGCTTACAATTACTTTATTATTATAGTATGATTAGGATACTATTATACTATGAGTGGAAACCATCACTGAAGGACAGAGTCTTACATACAGAAATTATGGGATATTTTAGAATAGCTTTTTTCTTTTGCTTGTAGCCTAAAGACACCCAGCAAGCACTTAGCAGAAAAGCTTCTGCAGTGAATATGGAGAAGTTCAAGAAGTTTGCAGCACGACGAAAATGGAAAGTAAGTAATTCAATAATGCTTCAAAATGTTGCACATACAAATGCAGTAGCATTGTCTGCTCCAGGGAAACATCAGTGCATGTAAGAGTGGAGAAGAAGAAAGAAGCAGCACATTCCTCTGTCATTTGGAATAAATTAAGTGTTTGAGCATGGTGGTATGGGAGAAGACTTCTTTGTAAATGATCTGCATACAAATGCTTGTGTGTGGATTGTTTGTTTTGTGCTTCTGTTTGGATTATAAATGCCAAAAGAAGTTGAAGTTTCAAATGCAATATACAAAGCAGATGGGGGTGTTGAAGTCAAACTTCACTTTGTTTTGCTAAGTCCTTTAAAATGTCTGCAATAGCATCTTATCACAAGTATCTGTTGCAATTTTTTTACATATGGCTTTTTTCTTATTGTTTTTACAAAGCAATCAGTGCGCTTAATATCCTTGTGCCAAAGATTATCGAGATCTTTTTTGTCCAGAAGTAATATGAGTGTCGCTAGAAGTGATGATACTCTGGTAAGTGTGTTCTTATATGTTTAGAATGTTTTACTGCAGATGAAATTTACAAGTTTCCAATTAATAGAAATATTGGGCTATTGAAAATGTACACAATTAATTAATTTCATATGTAGGAAGAAATCGATTTTAAGGCTACAAGAGGTCATTTATCCATAGTATGATCTTCTGCATGGCACAAACCTTGAAATTTACCTTATTAATTACCATACTGAGACTGATAACTAGTGTCAGAAATTCATCTGTCTTGGTTTTGAAAATTGATTCAGGAGGATTTTTTGTACTGTAGCAACTGTAATGTGAAAAAGTGGCATTTGAATTTTACTGTACTCATTGTGTACAGTAAAATAATATTCCTTATATTTCTTTTTTTTTTTTAACTGAATACTCAAAATCATCGAGTCCCTCTTGAATCCAATGAATGCTAGACAGCAGTATCACAACAAGCAGTTATTTAAGGAGGAAATTTTAAAGTTGGCCAGTATTCAGTTTCTGGTATTATATGTGACTACTAGTGTTGAGTAGTTAAGATCAACTCCGTATGTTTTGCAATTGCAAATGCTTGTAAATCCAAAAGCATTCTTGCTCCACAAGTTCTAATACACACTTCATAAATTTCCTGTAATCAGAAAAGAGTGTGTGTCAATATGTTTAGATCTGGGTAATATCATCTTTTCTGTGCATTGACAGGATCAAACTTCAAAAATTCTGCAGAGCCCTTTTTATGCATATTATCTTCTCCGTGTCCCTTCTGTGCAACTTGGTGTTCATGTTTCCACTTTTCCTTCTCTTTCTGCTTCTGTGCTCTTTATTCTATCTTCTTGCCCTCCCTTCCCTACCCTCTCCCCCACCTCAGCTATCTGTATGTCTTTTAACACTGGATCAGCATTTCACTCCTGTGTTCCAGCAGAAAGGATTGTAGCCTAATGTTAAGTGTCCTAAAAAAATCTGAAACCTCAGGAGAGAGGAGGTAAGACCAAACCAAATAATGGGCTCTGTGAATTTTAGTTCTTTTAGTGTATAGGAGAAAAATAAAGTTATACCTGCAGAGGTATCTACATTCTAGATTTTTAACTGATCCATTTGAATAGATGAAAGTTTGGTCCAAAGTACCTCTCCTGTGTTGTATTCGTGGATGGCACAAAACCTGATACTTCAGTTGGTATTCGTGTACCTCTTGGTTTTTTTAGTGTTCACATATATGCATTGAATTAGTTTCCTGTCATGCAAGTATTCTATCTATTGAAAGTCCTAGGAGGAAAAAAAGAATACACCTATAAAAGAACCTATTTGGAATCTCCATGAGTAATGGGGATTTATGTGAAGAAGAGGGAAGCAAATTGTACTAGAAAAAGTGTGGGGGTTTTTGATGTGGGTTTTCGAATAACATACATACACGTTAGCCATATGTTTCATGAAGGATTACAGCTTGCAGCTGAAGCACTCTTTTATAAAAAAATACTTTGAAAATTTTGGGTTTTAATTTTTTTAGATGTCTTGGCAACTGTTGAGATAGAGATTTTTTTCTTGAAGCTAAAAATTTTTCTTCTTTCTTATTTAATTGCAAGGATGAAGAAGATTCTTTTGTGATGAAAGCTATTATTCATGCCATCAATGATGACAATGTACCTGGATTGCAGCACCTTCTGGGATCTCTGACAAATTACGATGTCAATCAACCCAACAAGGTAGTGTGGGTCTGTGTTGAGGTGCGTGGGGGACTAGCTATAACCCTGTTGGATAGAGCAACATGGTTGTAAAATAGAAATGTAACACCTGAACTGAAAAGACAAGGGGATGGGAAATAATTCTGCCTTTTTTTTAGGAGAAATTTTATCGTGTTTTGTGTTCAATCTTCTCAAGCTACATTAAAATGGAGCCCAAAATGGAATTTTTTGCCTAGGCCTTTGAAAGGTTTTACTCAAGTCTATTGTCAAGAACTGTAGTAAATCAGATATCAGCTTTGCTTTTTTTTGCAATTGTTGTTTCTTGTGGCAGATGAAGATGGCAGAATATATAGGAATAACCAGACTGCCAAAACTGAAGATGGCAGAATATATAGGAATAACCAGACTGCCAAAACTGATTTTGCAAAGTGTTGCTAGAAACAGAAGTTCCAAACTGCAAAAAAAGGTTATGTGAACCTAATGTTAGATGGTAGTGTTCATTTTCAGTAAAGAAATTGCTTCCCCACTGTGGTATTTCAGTGCACTGCTGCTGCAGTAATGGGACTCTTGGAGCTGAGGCCAAGAGACCAAATTTCACGTACTTATTCTACTGTTAAACCTTGCATAAATCATCTCTGCCCTAATTTTCACTTTTTTTGAATGGTTACACTGACCTTCATTACAAAGTACTTTGAGAAATATTCATGAAGAGCAATATAAAAGTAAAGTGTCTGTTATTTTACTGTGTTGAGGTCTTGAACCATTTAAGAAATCACTGTGTTTTTTGTTTTACTGGTGCAGTCTGATTTAACTTTCCTAGATGTTGCTGGTGGCTTTAAGGTGGTGTAGTAGCTACAAAGAAATTGCAAAGGGGAATGTTCTTGCCGAACTAGTCTAATGAGAGCTTAACATTAATATTCCTAATTTGAAAAGCATACATTTAGTGTGTGATACATCATTTAGTGTGAACACATCTCAAAAATATGGAAAATTGCTGTGCAATAATTTTTTTAATAAAGGAATAAATTATTTTCATACAGTATTTCCTGAAGACTTAATTTGAAAGTGGAAATCCAGAGATAATATTCAATGCCTGCCTTCTCTTCCACTCTTTCCTTAATCCTTCAAAAGTTAATTATATCATTCTTGCTTGTATTTTGTTGTTAGCATGGAACACCTCCACTACTGATTGCTGCCGGCTGTGGAAACATTCAGATGCTTCAGTTGCTTTTAAAGCGTGGATCTCGTATTGATGTTCAAGATAAGGTTGGGGTTCTGCTCTGTCAACTGTTCTTTATAAGGTTTTCAGTACAGTTAGCAGGAGACAAGTAGTTCAGACTGTAGATCAGCTGTAGATCCTGTTTTCTGTCTTCCACAGCAAAAACTTCAAGACAAATCTTCAGTAATGTCATTTGTTATGAGTGCATATCCTCTGATTTTGATCACTTTATTAGCTGAAGTAATTCGAAGAATACTAATCTTAAAATGTAGTTCATGCTTACAAAACTGCCTCAATTAGTTCAAATTAGTGATTGCCCTAAAACACAAGTGTGAACTTTATTTAGTATGAAATGATAAATACACACTTTAGCCATGGGGAATATCACAACTAAAACTCATATTTGATGGAGGATATGCTTTGCAAGAAGCTTTTTTTTCCAAATGTGCTTTAACAGCCTGGTTTTCATTTAGAGCAAACTCGAAGAACTGTCTGCTTCTCCATCTAGTAGATGGCAAAGTAAGCAGAAGAAAGGTTATTATCTCATGACTATTAGTTCTAAAAAACTCCCTAACAAGGGAAAAGAGGATTATCCTTCCCAACAGTTAGTAATCCTGTTAATCATCCTTGCATAGAGGTTTTTGTTGTCACTGTTGGTATGTGGGGTTGTTGAACCAATTTGAAATTTTTTTCAGAAGTGAATGTGTTCATATAAGCTCGAATAGCTTTTCAGTGTATCTGTGTACATCTAAGTGCATGTATACCTCAGCTGAACCTCTAGAATTAGGATTCTAAATTCACCAATAACTTTTGAAATCAAATATTTTTGGCAGGCTGGATCTAATGCAATCTATTGGGCTTCTCGACATGGTCATGTAGAAACACTGAAATTTCTCAATGATAATGAATGTCCTTTGGATGTTAAGGATAAGGTAAGAAAATAGCTCCCTTTTCATGCAGAGAGCCTTTTTCTATAACTTTATCTTAGCAAAGAGAGAGGTTGGAATGATTTTCAACTGGGCCATAATTCCAAGAAGTTGACTGGCTTTTTGAGTGTGGTTTTCTGAGCTGACATAGAGGGCTGTGATAACAGAGCTTTACAGGAACTGGATGTACTGATTATTTTCCTGACAAATGTTAGCCAAGCGTGCATGTTAAATATGGTGAGTACATGGTGGGTAGGTGGAGAAGTACAAATCTAAATTAATTTTCACTTGAAGACTAGATTTCTCATTGGAACTAAGGGTGAAATCGTGATTCTGTTTCTCATTCCTTTTGATTGAAAATCACTTTTGTCTGACAAGTAAATTTGACTGTTATTAAGTTGAGTATAAGGAAGCCTAACAATTTATAGCTGATGAGCACTTACCTTGTCTTCAGCAGTGTTATTTGAGCAACATTTGCCCTAGAAACTAGTTGCTGTTAGTCTTGTACCATAGCAATGTTTTTATACTAGCCAAAGCTCCAGTACAGAAGCAATTAGACTTGTGAAGCAGTTTGCTTTGTTGAGGAAACTAGTGCAAGGCAAGGTACATTAGGAAAGTTAGTGTTTGACTCCTGATAGGGCTACAACGAAAGAGGTTACTCTCTTAATAAAAATACCATTTCTTTTTCATATAATTTCAAAAAAGTGTTGTAAATAATTAGGCATAATGACCAAAATGCACCAGGATGTACCAAGGTGTGTTAGGCCAGTTCCTTACATTTGAATATGCAGGAGGGGGTGGAGGTGCATATGGAAATAGTATGAATAGAAATAGGACATCTGTTTAAACACCAGTTGTACACACAGCTTCCTCCTCATATTGCTCAGAAATCCCATTGTGTCTGTGATTTGGAACTAATAATGTAGAAAAATAAGTTCTGAAAAAAGAAAGCCTTTGAAGAAATAACTACTTGTCAGGTGGTGGTGTATCATGTACAACTGGTTTGTAAGCTCTGCTGACCAGAGCTGCGCATCTGGGTTATGGAGAGGGAGGAGTATCCCATGCAGCACACAGGCACTCAGGTTGTACACAGTGTACAGGCAGTGTATATCTGAGGGTAACATATGAAATTACACTGGCGTGTTCTGTAATTGCAGTCTGGGGAGACCGCTCTCCATGTTGCAGCTCGGTATGGGCACGTGGATGTGGTTCAGTTTCTCTGTCGCATTGGATCCAATCCAAACTTTCAAGACAAGGTGAGTCATGAACACTGTCTGGGTTTTTTCAACAAATAAGGCTTTGTTTGAGTGGTCAAAGCTTTAAGTCTTACCTTGTAGCCTCTGGCATGTTTGCATTTGAAAAAAAACAACAGAATTATGGAGGTTTTGATAGCTCCTAATAGATGAAGACTATGCAAAAAACCTGCAAGAACCTGACACTGTTATGAAACATAAGTTCTCTCAAAAAATGAAAGCTTAAAGATGGAGAAACTCAGCACTGCAAAGGAATGGATAGTCGTGTCAGTTCAGCTAAAGATTTTTATTAGTTTTCGCCTTGATTTCTGCTTAGTTTTAGCTGCCATGGGATTTTTCTGCAGTGTCAAGCTCATTTTTTAAAATGAGTGGAGGGCTTGGGAGAGTTTCTTTAAAGCTCTGAACTGTTGTCAAAAAAACAAGAAGGAAGAGGCTTAATAGAAAAAGGAAATCTATTTGACCTAAACTTAACTGTGACCCAAATTTTAAGCCTCCCCAAGTGCTACATCCTCTAGGACTACCTTTATATTTTTCAAGCAACCCTAGGCCAAAGAGTCACAGGACATGCTCTTTGTCTATTTCTTTATGCTCAGATTTTTACAGAAACCTGGAGTACAGTCTAAGTCCTCTGCTATTATCAGCATCAGTTGTCTCCTTATTGATATTTGCCAGGTACAGAAAGGATCCCACTTCTTAGAATTTGATCCAGTTACTTCTTTGGTGGGTTTTAGTCCTCCCTGCTTTTCAGTGGGCTACTTTTAGCATATTTTTGTGAAACATTTGAGTTTCTTAATGGTGTTCCACCTAGCTGTTCTGATGTACAATGAAATTGAAGGTGAATGTTTTGAAGTTTCCTGGGTTCAAGCAAAAACCCTGGTAAGCACGGTGATCTGCCTCAAACTGCAAGTCTAGTGGGATTTGCATCTCCTTGGTAATCCATCTGTTTTAAACACTGGATTAGTCTCTCAACACACAGGATGTAGAAGCTGCTTGTGAATTAGGATCAGTTTTCAAGTGAGAGACCAAGACAGTTAGCTTCAGGAGCACGGATACATTTAAAGTAGGTTCACTGACATGGAAGGTATCATAATCACTTGGTATGTCAGCTGAAGTTATTTTTGCTTTGAGAATGTCAGCATTAGAAATTACATCTTTTTATAGGGCTTACTTAGCAGACTGTCTTTTTTTTCATGTCATCTTTCTGCATTTTAAAGCTGGGACTTGTTCTCCCTCATATTTGGTTCAGCTCTGTTTTTTTTTAATTTTCCATGTTGGCAGGAAGAAGAAACCCCACTGCATTGTGCTGCTTGGCACGGCTACTATTCTGTTGCCAAAGCACTCTGTGAAGCAGGTTGCAATGTGAACATTAAAAACAAAGAAGGGGAGACTGCACTCTTGACAGCCTCTGCTAGGGGTTACCATGATATTGTGGAATGCTTGGCAGAACACAGGGCTGACCTTCATGCTACAGACAAGGTTAGTTACGTTAAGAGGTCACAAGTGTCACAGAGACATATCTTGGAATTGCTTTGAGTGCTGCCAAGTCAGCAGTGTTTCTGTGACGTGAATTTTCTTTCTTAGCAGTTCACACAGAGACTGTTGATGGCTGCAGTAGTCTTTAAGGTTGTCCACTGATTATTTTTCTGTGCTTGGGTTTTTGCAGATTGTAGTGGGTTCCTGTAGCTGGGTTTTGGTAGTGGAGAGGCTACAGGAGTGCCTTCTGTTAGAAGCTGCTAGAAGCTTCCCCTGTCTCGTGGAGCCAATGCCAGCCGGCTCCAGGACGGGCTTCCTGCCGCTGGCCAAGGCCAAGCCAATCAGGTGCAATAGTAACACCTCTGTGATAACATATTTAAGAACAGAAGGTTGTTAAGCAGAAAGAATTCCAGCCAGGGAAGAGCAGAGTGAGAATATGTGAACAACAAGGTGGACACGAAGGTCAGTGCAGAAGGAGGGGCAGGAGGTGCTCCAGGCCCCTGCGGCCCGTGGTGCAGACCATGGTGGGGCAGCTGAGCCCCTGCAGCCCATGGAGGACCACTGGGGTGCAGAGACCCACCTGACCATAACCCCCATTCCCCGTCCCCCTGCACCACTGGGGGGGAGGAGGGAGAACATGGAAGAAAGGAGGGGTGAGGGGGAAGGTGTTTTTAAGTCTGTTTTATTTCTCACTCTTTGGCTCTTATTCTGAGAGTACTAAATTTAAATAATATCCCCACTTTGAGTCTGTTTTGCCCGTGAAGGTAATCAGTAAGTGACCTCTCCCAGCTGTTATCTCAACTCATGAATCCTTAGCTGGTTTTTTTTTCTCTCTCCTCTATCCAGTTGCAGAGGGAGAGTGAAAGAGTGGCTTTAGTGGGTACCTGGTATCCAGCCAGGCCCAACCCACTACACTGATTCATTAGCTCCTTATCAGTTACCACTTCATGAGTAACACTCTCTGAAAAATGGTAGGAACATTGGGTTCTGTAATTGGCAACTAACTATCAACCTAAAAGAGCTGGATATGCTGGTTGTCTTTGATTCCTATGGATTGGACAAATCATGCTTATTTCCAATAAGAACTATTTAAAAATATGATTCCATTTGATTCAGAATAAGTATTTGTCTTTCATGGTGTAATCCCAACAAATAAATTTGGAATTTCATTGCTCCTAGTTTTGATATGGTTGTCCTTTTAGCTACCTTTATTGCTAACATTAACTAAATAGTTATTAAAGTGAGTTCAGAAAAAACTTTTTGCTTCTAAAGCAATTAAATTGGTTTTTTCCAGTTACATTGTCTCTTTAAGTTGTTACACAGTTGTCTGTCTCTAAAATTACTGATCACCGAGCAGATTGCATGAGTGGCATCACTAACTTCTATCAGTAAACACTGGAGTTTTCAATAGAACTTACAGTATTCATCTGGTTGTTACAGTTGGTCACTATCTCCTAGGAAGGCTGTTAGTAGAGAATGTGTATTTGCATTTCATCCATTCCACTGCAAAGCCCAGTGGCTTAATAGAAATATGCTTTTATCCCATGGTTTATTTGTTCTGACAGATACTGTACATCTCTCTACCTCCACCTTCAAATTAAAAACCATTGTATTTCTTGAGGCAAGGTGATGCATCCAGTTACATGAGATTGATTAGCACTTTGCTAAATTACTTTGATTTTTAGCATTATTAGATTTCACTTACAAGCTGTCTTGTGATTTCAGGATGGTCACATAGCCCTGCATCTTGCTGTGAGAAGATGTCAAACAGAAGTAGTTAAAACTCTCATCAGTCAAGGATGTTTTGTAGATTTCCAGGACAGACATGGCAACACTCCCTTGCATGTGGCCTGCAAAGATGGGAACGTGCCTATTGTGATGGCACTCTGTGAAGCAAATTGTAGTTTGGATGTCACTAATAAGGTAGGTAAATGGAATATGAGTGCTGTACTACATTGTTTAATAGCTCCTCTATTGCATTAGATGACCTTTTAAAGTTCTCTAATATGAAAAGGTCTTTTCCTTTGATTTTTCTGTCTCTTAAAATGGCCAAATGCAAAGCATTAAATTACTTACCTCACAAATTTACCTAAGATGTTTCAGTTGAATAAATTATTAAAGATCCATGAAGAAAGAACCCAGGTGAATTATCACAGTATATTTTACCACTCAACTCTTAATGTTGAAAGATATGCCAACCTTCTTCCCTAGCCATATAACTTTGCTTTATGCAGATTGCATCTAGGTGCTGAAGAACAGATGATGAAATGCATTGATGCTGGCCTTGATTTCATATGTAACAGTAATTTATACACAGAATTGAAGACTGGTACATTTCTCTGAAAAATCTGCTAAAAATATTGATTGCAGTGATTATTGGTGGCTGACTGCCAGCTAGAAATGCAAGCAATCCATAATTGTTGTAAGCACTTCTCAAAAAGAATGTTTAATTACCTGCCCCTGAACTTCGAGATACTAGTGCCTTGTTTGCTGCTTTTCTTGTGCTCGTGCTGCAGTGTATGGGATTAACTAAATGTGATGCTTTACAGGTTTAACATTGTGGCTTTTCTTCTAGAGATCTTTAAGAGAAAAGTAAGCTGTTTCAGGAAACTTTAGTTTGAATAGGTCAAGGTCAGCCACTGAACTCTGCTGACAGGCTGTTGTGCTTAGGGCTTGATATTTAGGTCTGAATGTCTTTCTCTGCCCTATTTAAATTTTATGTATGCTTCAAAGTTTAAAAGTTACTTATAGGGATCTTTATGTTGCTATCTACAATTTGTTTGATTCAGGTATTGTAGCTTCTTTGTGGTTTTTTTTCTGGAAAAGTACATATTGTGGCAATAACACTTTGCTAGTTAACACTTCTATTTATTTCCAAAGCACTGGCAGTTTATTAGCCAGCTAAAAAGAGCTAAAAGGCTTTTGGCTTGAGGATTGTCCAGTGCAGTCACTTTTGGTTTCAATAATTAAAATCATCAGCTTTTTTCATCAAATGAAAAAAGTTAAAACCAGAAGTGGGTGCTGTGAGGACATGTTATTAGTGAAGAAATTAATGAAAAAAAGAAAAAAATGGGGGAAGCAATACTTTACAGCACTCTCCCTCTGTCACCAAAAAACCCATAACCTTTCAGGCTGCCTTCTTTCATTCATTATTTTTATTGCTTTGGATGGAAGGGAGAGACTGCAGATGTGTAATACTTAGATTGAAACAGAATTCAGTAATACTTAGATTGAAACAGAACCTAGGGTTTTAAAGGTTAAAGAATTTGTGTTGTTTAAGTGGTTCATATTTAATTAAGAAATATGCGATTAAATTTTCTGGAATTAGAAAGACATTCTCAAATATAGCCAAAAAAACTCTAAAGGATTCCTCCACAGGTGTGAGGGATTTTGCTATAAAGTTGTTTCTCATTTTTTAAATAGTCATTGTATCCTTTGTTTTTAATTGCACTTTAGGTAGCTGTGCTTAAGCTGTAATCAAAAGTACTTTTTCTTGCAGCTTTGCAAGACCTTTGCTTTGTATCAGGATGTATAATTGTATAATATGTTTGATTATTAGTAATAAAATTTGAAGTGAAATTCTTTAGCTAATGTAATGACACTTGTTTCCCCATGTTAGTATGGAAGAACACCTTTACATCTGTCAGCAAGCAATGGCATTCTTGATGTTGTCCGGTTCCTTTGTGTTACCGGTGCCAATGTAGAAGCATTAACCTCTGTAAGTATTGAGAATTGTTGTTAGTCTTGCTTCTTTTATGCATGACAGTAGGAAATGAACTAATAGAGAGGTGTAGGAAAAGGACAATACATTTTGAAATTTAAAAAAAAAGAAGTCTGTTGACTGTCATACCATGTGAGTAGTATATGTTATATCTCAGTTGTCTACTTTTTCCCTTCTTACAACTGAATTTGGAACTGATTGCGGTACAGTACAGCTACTACTTTGTCTACACATAATAATTTCTTCACCTAAGAATTACTTTTATGTATCATTGCATTTTCTATAAGTGCAGTGGGCCACTGTCATTAATACGTACATCATTTCACATCACATTTAAGATATATACAAATGCATTGTAGGTGTCTTAAATATTTTCCTTGCTTTCATGAGCTTGAAAAGATCTGTTTTTATGATGGGACAGTGTGGTTGCATGGATAAGTTAACTAGCCTGCAAGTATCCTTGTAAAACAAATCGTTCATGTCAGATCATCCAGCACTACTGTGGCTTCCAATTAGTATCACTGAAGGTATTTTTGATTCTCAGTAAGGTGAGAAACATCCTCCTAGCTGACATATCCACGGCAGGAGTGAAGTGTCCTTCATCGTGCATACCTCATAAACACATGATGCATTATAGACATCATACACACCATTATGTGTGTTTTGAACAAAATAGCCATATTTTATTTTTGAATCCATTGGATCACATTGCATTGCTACTCACCATAACCGGTGTATTCTGATCAGAAGTAACTTTTGGTCTGTATATTGAAAACACGTTGTCATTAGATTTTAGTTGAGTTCAAGTTTTTCAGAGTTCTTGTCTAACAAATTATTCCTGAGACAGCTGCAATGGAGGGGAAAAAAGATAAAACTTCTGTATCATTTGGTAGAAAATACAAAAATTTTTGTTGTTTTCCTCTAGATTTAGCACTGCAGTTTTTTCCTCTAAGCATGTGTCTTACATAGCGGGAGAATACCAGTGCACTTGGAATTGTGGCTTAAACAAGTTTAGCACCTCATTACTTTTTGATAACTACTGGATTGTAATTGCCATGTCTCGTATTAATCAGTAGTAATGAAATGTGCATGCAGTGCACTTGGTGAGGTGTTCTACAGATTTCCTTTGTTACCTGTTCTTGTCTTTTTTGTTTTGGACCATTGTGTATATGTATTTTCGCTACTACATACTGTAGAGATGAGATAAAAAGGCAATGGGGGAATTCTTGAGCTGTTGCACTTCATTTATGTCATAGTGGCTGTGTTGGTATAGTTGCCTGTGTGGACACTGTCCTTCCAAGATAAAAATACTTTCTATCTCTTTAGTTTAGATCAGTTTGAAGGAGATAACAAAGTAAATATTGCTGATACTAAATCTATCAGGAGAAGCAGACTGAATATATGTAATGATGCATTATTCCAGGAGTGTGGTGGCAGAGAGAAGGCAAAAGGAGGAGAGGACAGGAGGATCTTGCATGTTGTGATGCTAAGATTTCAGTTTTGCATAAGTTTGCTAGGTGGATGTTAAACTGTTCTGAAGAGCTTACTAACAACTCCTTCTGAGCCAGTGCAGTAGAATTAATTACCTTTTTCTTCTTTCAGTATGCCATTTCTCAGGAGTTTATTTTTCTGGCAAGTAATCGAGTTGTATTCCCTGCCTCCTTCCTAGGCTAAAGCCTATTTTGGGACTACTTTGATTTTGAATTTGATTGCATGAACGTTGTCAGGTAACCTTTGAAAATCATAGAATCATAGAATCAACTGGGTTGGAAAAGACCTCTGAGGTCATCAAGTCCAACCCTTGATCCAACACCGCTATGGTTACTAGACCATGGCACTCAGTGCCACATCCAGTCTCATCTTAAAAACCTCCAGGGACAGTGAATCCACCACCTCCCTGGACAGCCCATTCCAATGACTGATTACTCTCTCTGTAAAAAATTCCATCCTAATATCCAACCTAAACTTCCCCTGGCACAGCTGAAGACTGTGCCCTCTTGTCCTACTGCTGGTTGCCTGGGACAAGAGACTGATGCCCACCTGGCTACAACCTCCTTTCAGGGAGTTGTAGAGAGTGAGGAGGTCTCCCCTGAGCCTCCTCTTCTCCAGGCTGAACAACCCCAGCTCCCTCAGCCTCTCCCCATAGGACTTGTGTTCAAGTCCCTTCACCAGCCTCGTTGCTCTTCTCTGGACCTGCTCCAGCACCTCAATGTCCTTCCTGAACTGAGGGGCCCAGAACTGGACACAGCACTCCAGGTGTGGCCTCACCAGCGCTGAGTACAGGGGAAGAATCACTTCCCTGGTCCTGCTGGCCACACTGTTCCTGATCCAGGCCAGGATGCCATTGGCCTTCTTGGCCACCTGGGCACACTGCTGGCTCATGTTCAGCTTCCTGTCAATCCAAACTCCCAGGTCCCTTTCTGCCTGGCTGCTCTCCAGCTGCTCTCCAGCTGTCCCCACCCTGTAGCACTGCAGGGGGTTGTTGTGGCCAAAGTGCAGGACCCAGCACTTGGCCTTGTTGAACCTCATCCCGTTGGAATCAGCCCAACTCTCCAACCTATCCAGGTCCCTCTGCAGAGCCCTCCTGCCTTCCAGCTGATCGACACTCCCCCCCAGCTTAGTGTCATCTGCAAATTTGCTGATGATGGACTCAATCCCCTCATCTAAATCATCAATAAAGATATTAAACAGAACTGGGCCCAACACTGATCCCTGGGGGACACCACTAGTGACCAGCTGCCAACTGGATGCAGCACCGTTCACCACCACTCTCTGGGCCCAGCCCTGCAGCCAGTTCCTAACCCAGCACAGAGTGCCCCTGTCCAAGCCATGGGCTGCAGCTTTTCCAGGAGTGTGCTGTGGGAGATGGTGTCAAAGGCTTTGCTGAAGTGCAGGTAGACACATCCACAGCCTTCCCCTCATCCACCAGGTTGGTCACCTGATCTTAAAAGGAGATCAATTTGGTCAGACAGGACCTGCCCGTCCTAAACCCACCCTGGCTGGGTCTGATCCCATGTCCATCCTGTAGGTGCTGTGTGATTGCACTTAGGATGATCTGCTCCATAACCTTGCCAGGCACTGAGGTCAGGCTGACAGGCCTGTAGTTTCCCAGGTTCTCCTTGCAGCCCTTTTTGTGGATTGGTGTGACATTCACCAACTTCCATTCATCTGGGACCTCCCCAGTGAGCCAGGACTTGGTAGATGATGGAGAGTGGCTTGGCAAGCTCTTCTGCCAGCTCCCTCATCACCCTTGGATGGATCCCGTCTGGTCCCATAGACTTGTGAGGATCCAAGTGGCTCAACAGGTCTCTAACTGTTCCCTCCTGGATTACAGGGGGGCTATTTGGCTTCCTGTCTCTGTCTACCAGCTTCGGAGGCCAGTTGTTCTGAGAACAACCTGTCTTCTTGTTGAAAACTGAGGTAAAGAAGGTGTTAAGTACCTCAGCCTTTACCTTATCTTTGGTGACTATGTTCCCCCCCCATGTCCAACAAAGAATGGAGGTTTTCCTTGCCCCTCCTTTTGCTTGAAGTCCTTTTTAATTACCCTGGCACCTCTGTCATTAATGTCATCACTGCCAGCCTGGACCACCAGCCTGGACAGAGGGCTGGATTAGCTCAGGGAGTCTCCTACTAATGTTCCTCACTGTGACCCAGGGAAGGCAGCAGACTTCTCTGTGGGATGGGTCTGGTTGGCACATAGGGTCCTCAGTTCCTCTCAGAAGGGAGTCGCCTATTACAACTACCCTTCTTTTTTTCTTTATAGCTGTGGTTGTAATCTGTCTGGTGCCATGCATCCAGGAGGCCCTCCAGACAGATCCTGTTCTTGACTGCCCTCTGCCTGACTCTCTGGGCCCAGGCCCTCATACCTGTTCTTTAAGGGCACTGTGGGAGGTGATGGGGGTCAGGAGGAGATTCCTTTACCTCTTCGATCAGAGACCTGTTTCCATTCCTCCCCACTTACTTGGTTTGCTCCATTTGCCTGATGGCAGGAGGGGTAGGGCTTCACCATTTCCTGCTGGACTTCTTTTGGGGTCAAAAGGGTATAGACTCCACCAGTCTATTTCCCTTTCACTCTCCCTAATACTTCTTAGCGTCCCCACTTCTTCCTTGAGCTCTGCCACCAGGCACAGCAAATCATTCACCTGCTCACATCATAGGCAGGCGTTTCTCACACTGTCCTGTGGTACTGACACCAGGCTCAGACACTCTGTGCAGCCAGAGACCTGAACAGCTGCGTCCTTCTTGGGGGGTTCTGTCTGGGTTACACACTGCTCCTGATAGCAACAGCAACTGCTTTTGCTCATTCGGAAACCATTGCTGGGTTGAGTTGACTTGCAGAAAAAACAAAACAAACAAACAAAACCCAAACCAAACAAAACCAACCAAACAAAAACGAACCACATCCACACACCTACCTCACAACCCACCAGAGAGACCTGGGAGGGTGGCTGTGCCCTGCCTGCGCGAACTACCATGCCACAACCTCAGTGCCATGCCACACCCCTGTTTGCCCACTCCGGGTCCCTTGTGCTCCCTGGAGCAGTTTAAATCTCCTGCCAGTGACCTCAACTCCACCCTCTGGTCAGCTGATTAGGCCTCACATGGCATCTTCTGCTCCTGGTATATACAATCATGTCAAATATTTGAAAATTACCCTAAAAAATTTATTGTGCTCACTTGCTAACTGGCACCATGTTCTTGGCTTCTCCTTATAGAAGTTTTAAAATTATCAGATTGCTGAAAAATTTTTCATGAAGATGCTTGCAAATGCCAGTTTAACTCCTATCCAGCTCTTGCAGGCATAGCTGTCTGATTTGCAACATAGGGGCTAGTCAGCAATTGTGATGAAATATTACCACTAGGTGTAAAATATGCTTTCATGGATCCTGTAACCAACCCTTTTTAGATATCAACTTTGCTTACATATTGCCGTTGCAATGCATAGATACTCTATACTTTTCAGGAAACCTTGAACAGGAAAATAACTTACTATTTTGCTTGTGGATGTAGTTTCTAAATCTTGTTGTGCTCTACAGTGGACATTCATCCTGCAGTAGATATGCAGAGAATTAAACAGCGTCATCTTGTTCGTAGTTTTGGACAAAAAAAGGAAACTTTGTTCTGTTAATTTCTTTTCCTTTCTTCCTGTCCTGTTTACTGTGTGGACTGGTGACTGTGTACTTCAAAAATCATGCTTGTCAGGCAATGCCTTTGCAAAGGCATTGCTCCATAAGGGAAGGTGAACTGGGAACAAGGAGTAAACAAGGCAAGTAGGGACGATGTCCTCTTCAGAAAGGGCCCCATCCCATAGAACCCAAGCAAGGCAAGCAGAGAGGGTCTAGTGATGACAACCAGCTTCAGCAAAGAGTCTGGGTCACCAGACAAGTCCATAACAATGAGGCAAATCTGTAGTTAAGTCAAGGTTAGGAACTGAGCTCAGTGACCATGATCAGCCAAAGCTTGAGTGTTCACCAGGCAAATCCATAGTGAAGAGACATGTTCAAAGTCAAATGCAGAAGTTAGGTGCCAGTCAGAGGGATACATGGCCATGCAGGCATATAGCTGTAGTGTTGCTCAGGTAAGAACCAGAGGCAAAAGGCTTAACCTACAAGCAATATCTGAGCAAAAGCTTTTGTGAAAGCCCTGATGGGTGATCTTCTAAGGTTTCTTCCTTCACAACAGTCTGAACCAAGATTAGTCTTGAGTTCGGATACTGTTACAAAGTGTAAGAGAGCTCTGGGTCATGGCCATGCCATCCTGCTGGTACAGGTAGGCTTGCTCTGTGCACACATCTACTTAGATGTTTAGCAATTGGAACCATTCCTTTTGCCATTGTTCCAGTTTTTGGAGCAGTCACCTCCATCCCTTTACAACCCTGCTCATCGATCACACTCTGGCTGAGCCACTACCACTCACACTCTTTGCTGAATACTCACCAGATGGTTATTTCCATTGTGTTTGTGTCCAAATAGCTGTGCCTGAGCTAGCCAAACGTTGTACCAGAGTACAACTGTTTAGCCAAAGTCAGGCTTTGGACCAATGAGATAAAGCAAACAAGGGTGTGAAGTTACCCAAGCCATTCCAAACCAGCTGTGGTGCACCAATCAGGTGTGGGACGTGCTCTGATTCAAAGGGACAGTGCCTATGCAGGGATCTGGCACCGCATATGTGCTTCGTGCTGGAGTTTGCCAGACCCTCTCCAACCTTATGTCACAACGGGAACATACTGCACTCTGGAAGAGTGCAATGCCAAGGCTGTACCAGTCTGTCTTTGGGGACTTCTCTTAAGAGGAAGCCAAAAATTTCGGGATTGGGATAAAATTCACACTTTAGTTGGTGTAGGCTGCATCCTTTTTCCATACAGATTCTCAAGAAGGGGACCATGATTTCTCCTCTGTTTGAAGGTGTTTAATTCCCCAGCATATGCCCAAGACCAAAAACTTGGGAAACACCACATGTATTGAAGCAGTTCTGCTGATGGCAGGCGAGCTGCCCAGCCACTAGACCACTCTTCCTCTCATACAACAGGCACTCAGGATTAACTGGCATTTGGAGGTGAGAGTCAGCACAGACAAAGAGATTCCTCCCCTTTGATACATCTTCTCTAAGGAAAACTAATTTAAAAAAATGTGTTGAGATGTTTCTTTACTAAAGTTACAATAACATATCAACTATAGTAGGAATTTGTACCAGTAAGGTACTGGTGCAAATTTAGTCAGTTCATGCCACCAACTACAATTTTGACTTTTTTTTGCTAAAGTTCTGGTCCTGTTCTGACTGCACTATTTGAAGTGCCTAACAAATTTTATGGAAGTCTGAAAATAGCTTCTGCAGGTACTGAAGATGTCTATTTCATATGTAGAGATAACAGCTAAAGTAACCTCAGGAACTTCTTAATATAACGCAGGTTTTGCAAGAAAAATTAGTAAAATCAAAGATAGAAAACAAAAAAAAGAAATCTTAATTTTCCAGTAATGCTACTTAATTATTGAGAGTTCTTATCTGAGAAAGTGAAATAAGCAAAGTGCTCCTAAATTACTTACCTCTAACCAAAATTTAAAACTATAGCATTAATGTTGCTGTAAGAGTCAAAGTAGTGAACAATTTTTCTTTCAATCTTTTTAATATTAAACTTCTGATTTGTGAAACATAGGTAATTAAATGCAAGACCAGAATGATGAAGGCAACTTCGCTTCTCCTTTTGAATTTGCTGATACAATTTAAACTACATCTCTTAGAAAGTTCTGAAATCCTCCAGTGACAGATGTGCCACTGTCAGTTTTTATCCATTGGTAAACAAACATTCACCTGCTATTTGTGTGAGTGAATATTCTGATGTGTCCCCTCTTTGTAAACTTCTAGATCTGTTCAGTGGGTAATATCTAGAAATCGCTATCCTCCTGTAACGGATGTGAAGAGGAGTTCAGAGGGAGGAGTATTGATTTTGCTCTCAGGCTGTGAATTCAAAGTATCTTCTTACAGTGGCATCCAGATGCCAATCTGTAAAAGAAATGTTATTGTTCTGCATTGCACACAGGTTTTTTTAATAAGTTAAAGAAACGCAAGGGGTTCTGGTGGGGCTTAATCATTACTGGTTGTTGATTGAGGTTTTTTTTCTTCTCCCTATTTCATCTGCATCTGACAGCAGTTCTGTTACTGTGTTGAGCAGCTGCAGGATGTTGTACACAATTTTTTTATTGTGGGCGAAAGGAAGGAACTGCTACTAATAATTTGTGTTTTAACAGGATGGGAAAACAGCAGAAGATCTCGCCAGAGCAGAGCAACATGAACATGTAGCCAATCTGCTTGCAAGACTTAAAAAGGTTGGGAATGCATGAATTTTAACTGAGATTTTCATGTTTTTAAGATACTAATGAGCCATTTTAAAAAGCTGTTGCAAAATTCCTTACTGGAATTGTGTCTTTTTTTTTTTAATCCTTTTCATATTTTTAATAGTTGAAGTGTGTATGTATTAAAGAAGGTGGCTAAGCAAGTCTGCCCCACTGATCTATATCTATTTGTCTCTAACAATGCCTAGTAAAGCACCTGAGGTGTTTAGTAGAAAATAAACTATTAAGAACTAGCACATCCCACAAGATGACTTATTTCCCCACCATCACCATTTCACTTAGATTAAGCTTATGCAGTATAAGGGTTTGTGCCCTTTATGGAAACTCTAATACCATATGGAATAGTTGCATAAGTTTCCAATGTCATGTTTTAATTCTGCAGTTTCAGTATATCCAAATCTCCCAACAACTAGAACAGAAAGCTGACCTGGGCTTGTTGTCAGGCAGTATATCTGCCACATCTGACACGCATTGATTATTTGGATAGGTGGCATCATTCATGCTGGAAAGGTTCAGAGACTACTTGCCTGGAGATTACAGGCAAGAGCCAGACCAATTAAAATAATTGTGTTAAAATTATGCTGATGAGTCTGTGGAAAACTGAAATAAATGACCATTTCAGAGTAGTAATAAAAGATGGCATGCACCAGGCATTGCTGAGGTGGAAGTAGAATCTCTTATGCCTGCCAGCAAATCTATACTTGGTAGGATTGTAAAATATATATCCATGAAGATGTGAGAAAGTGCAAAGTTCGGGCTTCCTTTGCAATGATAACTTCTGTAAATATTTGTTGTAACAGACTCCATTTTGTATAGTTGTATCCTCACACCAAATCCTTACCTGTGTCTGCATGCAGGGGGGTAAATTTGTGGTTTAGTCACGGTGTAAATACAGAAATACTACAAACTGGCCTAGAACAAAGGGAGAAGATCAGTTAAATCTCTTTTGAAAGAGACATTAGTAACTGTAATTCTCTTCTTGATAAGATTATATTATATTATATTATAGCAGAGTATATTATTGAAGGCCTATCTATATATATGTGGGAAAAATGTATGGTAACCATATACTTCATTAGACTATACTTTGCAACAGAGAATCTGATCTGTTGAAATCAATGGATTAGATCAAACCACCAAAAATATTATAATACTACACAGAATGGTCAATATACAATGTACAGAATGTACCTGACACTTATTTCATTTTCAGTGCTTGTGAAGAGTTTTGTCTCTACTAGCACACACATCAGGAACCTACTGTCATAATGGCTCTTGTGGAGGATTCAGTATTATCTGTGAGGGCACAGTATTTGCATTTAGTTTGCATTAACAAACTAATTTTATGCACTACTGTTTCTGTCAAATTTCTCAGCTCAGTTGCAGCATGCTTATAATTTAGGGGGGCTGTAGGCTCTCATTTAATGATTCATCCTACCTGTTAAATTCAGTACAAATGCAGAGCAACAGAGCTTCTCTCTCAGCTCCCAATGGGGGAGTGAAGAAAGGACAGATGAAGCTAGTTCCTTTGCTCTTCCACATTTCTTCTTTCTCCGTGTTTCCTTAAAATTCTCCCAAATATGAGAAGAATAGAAAAAGGTAAAGAAGAGGAGAAATGCACATCAAGTTTTCAGATTACTCAGGTGATAGAAGTCCCAGCAAAATTCTTCAGTGCTGCATGTATATTATATAAGATTATGGATATTGGTTATGCTGAGACTGATGGTAAGGAGACTGGGTACTGAAAGATGCTAGTTTTTCCTCCTTTGACTTCTCCATGTGATTTTCATGAAACGTGTGATTTTCATGAAACCTCAAGGTGATTCTTGAGAGAGACCATTGAGCTGTGTCTTGTCTACCTGTCATTGCCCTTCTGCCAGTAACTGATTGCTTGCATGATGAACCAGATGAACATCAGTCTGGCAAGAAAGTACCTGTGTTTTGAGTTTGATGGACACAGAAGTTCCCTGCCACGTGTTCTAATTTCTTCTCTATGTTAAATTTTAGGATACACACCGGGGGCTTTTTATCCAGCAGTTGAGGCACACACAGAATCCACAGCCTCGAATCAAACTGAAGTTGTTTGGACACTCTGGTGCTGGGAAAACCACTCTTGTGGAGTCTCTCAAGTGCGGCCTGATACGAAGCTTTTTCCGAAGACGTAGGCCAAGGCTTTCCTCCACAAACTCAAGCAGATTCCCCCCATCTCCTTTGTCTTCCAAACCTTCAGGTATGTTTTTGATGAGAAAACATTTGCATGAGAAAACATTTTCCTCTTAGTCTCTTGTAGCTCCTAAGGAAGAACTGTTGGCTGCACTGCAAAAGACAGGACAGCGTAAATACGTAAGACACAGAACAAAGCAGAGAGGGAACTGACTTCTCTGTGCATAGGCTTGTACCTAAAATAAGAGGGAGAGGAGCAGCAAGTGTGTAGGATACATGAGCAGTTAAGGTTTTATTTGCTTACATGCTGCGTAAGTGAACTTGGAGAGTGGAGGACAGGACTTGTAAACATGGTGTTTATTTTTCACCAGAAGTCCTAGGCTGTAACTGCCTGTGTCATAACCAGATTCCTTTTTGCTGGAGGAGCTTCAATAAATGGTGTGCGAAATTGAAACAATTGTTACGTCTTTGTGATTTTTAAGTAATAATAGGATTCAGAACTTCCTCTGATGCTTTGGAGCGCTTTTCCATAAGGTACAGGATTGAATTAGCCTGGTTAGAAGTGTCTAAAGTTATCTCCAAACAAGGTGAAGATGAACCTTTTTGTAAACTGAAATAAATGGTAATATTAGGGAAATATATTACCTGTGTAGCACCAGTTGGCCTGTGCTAAGTGGGGAGACCTACAAGATGAGGAGGAACTAGTTAGGTTTGTACTTAAGCATGTACCCAGCTTTGGAAAAACCCACAGAAGGACAGTGGAAAGAGCAGTGAACTATTTGTTCAGGTCCCTTTTCTAATCTGAGAGGCTACGCAATGTATACAAGCTAAGTGTGTCGAGGAGCTCAAATTTAAACTGATATTTAGTAGTCTTTTTATATAAGTGTTAGTTTAGTTGCCTTTTAAAAAAAAAAACAACTTCTGGATAATACTTGTAAGTTTGGGTTTCATTCATCATTTTTAAGTCATGTTAGAACAGCAGTAGCAGTAGATTTCATCTCTACTTTCTCTCTAGTCACCTAAGGAAACTATAAGGCATTCACAGAGTGACTTAACAAGACAAGATCCTTGGCACAGAGATTGTTATTGCATTTGTTGTTTACTTAATACGAGGGGCTCACATCTGTAACACCAGAATAAAGAACTTACAGGAAGGTTTTGACTGAAGATTGGGGGGTTTTTTTAATGTTGATTGGTAACAGAACAAAAGGAGAGGTGTTGTGTGCTCACACGATCATAAAATCAGAAAGACTGCCAGTCACATTGGCAAATCAAGGTAGAAGTAATGGTCAGTTTTAAGCATGGACTTGAAAATAGCTTACCTGGATATAAAGCCAGAAAGCTGTGCAGTTCTATACAAACAAAGCTACTATGGTGTTATTTTAACATTTGGAAGTTTCTTTTTTGCTTTTTACGGTAGATGTTCTTTTTGGATGTAAATAATTACATAACATGTAAATGATGTTATGTGTTGAATGACATAATCAGATAAATATTTAAATCAGCACAACTTGGTCTATACTTGATCACATTATTTATTTGTTTATGTGTTTGTTTAAATTCTGTAAAAATAAATGTATTTACCCTGTATTTATTTACGAGAGCCCAAATATTTTAAATATTACAGTAGGAAATCAAACATGAAAGTATAGTTTTACTGCTAACAGGTAATTTCTTTCTATAGTAAAACCCAAATATTAGAATTTGCCATCTAGTGGAGGAAAGAAATCTTTGCCTTATCCACTAGATGGTGCAGGTCAGTTAAAAAGCCCTTTCACTTCTCATTTACATTCTGGGAATCTGAACTAAGCATGAACTAAAAATATTGGTTATTAGTAAAACAGTTTTGGTTAGGGGCCTACTTTTCTTCCCCACGTCCCCAGAAACAGTTGTTACACAGTGATATTTTTTATCATTGCTTACAGGAATCAGCAGTATGAATACGTAACATTTCCATGTCAATAATAATAGACCATGCTATGAAATTGCAGCCCTTAGCTAAAAAAACTCCACCAGTATATTTTTGCAATATAGAACTTTAACTGTTGAAACCATTTGTACACATATAATTCAGGTTTTTCTATGCTTCCCACTCAGTGGTATGTCTGCTAATGGACGTAAGTACTGTATGGGATCATTCTAGTATTTTCCTTTTAATCATTCAGAATAAGGATGTAGTTGCATATGCTCACAGCTTCACAGTCATCTCCTTTCTTTGAAGAGCACCTTGGGGTTTTTAATCTGCTTTTATGTCTTGCATACTTGTTTTGAAGTGATCTGGTAGTGATTTTCACATGGTTTGTAATCTCATTTTCTTTTCCCTGACCCAGTTTCAGTAAGTATTACGAATCTGTATCCTGGTTGTGAAAATGTCAGCGTGAGAAGCCGCAGTATGATGTTTGAGCCAGGCCTGACCAAAGGAGTGTTAGGAACTTTGGTTTCACCTGCTCATCACTCTCACTTCTCTGCTGATGACCAGTCCACCAAGGCCATTGACATTCAAAATGCGTACTTGCATGGTAAGCAGAGTCCTAGGCTGGGGTGCCTTAATGCTGCAGAATAGTTTATGCCATTTTGCTTGTTTTTAAAAATAAAAGTGGAAAAAAATCTGACCCGGTATAGTAGTGTTTGACAATGCAACACTGTAAGGACTTGATTTGTTTAGGGAGAAAGTAAATCTGCCTGATATTCTGTAGCTCTAGTATACATAGTAATCACTCGTGTCATAATCTTCATAGTATCACATAGAAACATTTTTTACATGAGTACATGGGGGAGAAGAAAGGAGGGATTTGGTATAACAGGAGCAGGTTGGCAAAGTGACTGCTAGTGTGAAGGCTCCTTCACCTCTATGTCCTTTGGGAATTTTATCAGATTTAATCTGGTCCTGTAAAGCCAAGTGTCCTCACCATTTAAGTGGTTCCCAACTATACAAAGGACCTACTGTTCCCCCCCCCTTGACAGGGCTAGAGCATGTTTGGTGAGCCCTGAAGCTCATCAGTCGTGGTGAGTGGAGCTTCTGATTTCATTTGTTTTTTTCCAAGGAAGCTAACTGCTTTGCAGTTGAAACCAGTTAGCAGGTTTCAACTAAAGAGAGATCAGTCAAAGAAGTTGTCATAAGTACTTATATGGCTTTTGACTCTGATCACACAAATGGTGCTTATCCTCCACTAGCCATACCAACTGTTATTTATATAGGTGGTAATATCTCTCCCAGTAGGATCTCTTCATTATAAGGAAAACGCGTGTCATACAATTTTGAGGCTGAGTTAGTATTAATCAAGATTTTTATTTTGGAGAGAGAAACCTATTTATGAATGCAATATATGCACAGTAACAAATGCAGTGACAAAAAACATTTATTCTAGGTGCTGAAGAGTTTGCCATGTAGCTAAAGCTTGTTCTTTGTCCAGGCTAATTTCTTCTTTTGGTATAATTTGAAACCATGTCAAATTCTGCAGGGGAACAGAATTGTGACAGACTGTCAGAAGGGTTTTCTTATATCTTTCTCTGTGCTGTCTTGATGTAGAATGAAAGAGTACACATGGGTGAACTCTGAATATCTGTACTCATAACAGTACATTGGTGGCTTCTTTCCCTCTAGAAGTTTGAGGCACATCTTAATGAGCATTTATTTAACTAGAAGTAGTACAGGTGCATCAGACTTCACCATGATGTGAAGTGTATCTGGGAAGTGCCATACAGTGGAACACACTAATACTTTTATCACCTGAAGCTAAAGGAAATGGCAAAAAGAAGCATGGGGCTTTTAGGATTCTTAGCATGGTGATTCTTCAGTCCTGGTTTACCAATGCACTGAAAATAGTACAATTCTGTAAAGCAAAGTGGCCTCTTTGAGAATGTGCTCAACTGTTTTTAACATCAGCAGTGTCATGTTAAGAAGAAAAATTAATAAAAATATAGAGCTTTTTGGGGGTGAGCAGGAAAAGAATGGGAACTGTTATTCTTGATTTTCAAGGCAATTACAACATCTGTTGCTGTTGTGCAAGGCAAAGCCCAATTTAATGCATAAGACTGCATGCATATAACACAGGTGCTTCCATGTGGCATCCAGCTGAATGTCCTAGAGAGGAATGTGAGAGAGGAACAGATTATGAGGACCCAGCTTCTAAGCCTCTGAAACTCTACTCCCTTTGTTCATGATTGCTTTTGCAATCTTGTTTTCTCACGTGCATACGGTTTATCTTTGTGAAAGTTTAAATCAGATTAACTCTCGTTTGTCTTTTGCTGGCTAGATGTTCTTGTTGATGAAGTGTCATCTCTTAATTGGTGTCTGTTTTTCAGGAGTTGGTGATTTCAGCATCTGGGAATTTTCTGGGAATCCTGTGTACTTCTGCTGTTATGATTATTTTGCTGCAAATGATCACACTGCAATTCATATAGTGCTTTTTAGTCTCGAGGAGCCTTATGAAATCCAATTAAACCAAGTGACCTTTTGGCTCAATTTCCTGAAATCATTGGTCCCAGTTGAGGAACCAATAGGTATGTTCTTCTATCTGCTAATGAAGTACTAGATGACTGTAGAATAAAGCTTCTTGTATTTCTCTGCAACTTTGTACATCATCCATGTTGGGTTGCTGTTATGTGTCTTCATCCCCATGTATTCAAACAAACTTTACGCAAGGTTTCTTACAAAAAGCTAATTTTATTTGTGGAAGAAGCTGGAAGAGTTGTACACCCCACTTAGTCCAATTATAAAGGGTCATGAGGTTCAGTGCAACCTCTTGTAGCACTGGAATTTAGACCTGTACATAGCAGATCAAGTTTTATATCAGATAAGCTGTATGGAAGAGTGTTTCAGAGGGTTGGAACCATTGAAAACAACACATTACTTAAATTCTTCTTTTATCTAGTCCCAGTTAACAGTGTTTTCAGCATAAATTTGTGACTCTTGTCAGTGAGAACAGGACAGAACAGTGTTGTAAAATAGCATTACCCTTCAGTATGTGCAACTTTAATGTGTTTAACTAGAACTGTATTTGGACTTCAAATATGATAACTTCTTGGTGCATCAGGGTGTACAGAAATAAATATTTCTTGTAAATTTCAACTTCACCTATTCTCCAATTTTGCACAGGGTTTAAGTAATTTTACTTGGTTTATATTCAAGCTTTCTAACACAGTAAACGTCACTTGGCAGGCAAACCAATTAACTTTTTTCTTTAAACATCTGTTAGTCTAGGTGTATATATACTATGTAACTGTTTGTAGCTGAGTATTGGTCGGCAGACTTTGACAGTTTCATGGATTAACCAAGCTCTGACATGCGTCTTGGGTCTGTGATCTGAAAGATTATTCCAGACAGTGGACCTAACTCAGCACTCATGGACATTTGTAACACTGCTAGGGATTCACCAGACAAGTGTATTAAATACTTACATAGTGCAAAGAGTATTTCCTCTCTCTTTCTGTGTTCTGCTTGAAGCTGTATGCATTATCTCAGCCAGATAATGATAATGAGCCAAGTTCAACCTTCAGTTTTCAGTTCAGGCACTGTATTCTTTTATTTTCTCTTTACGATCAAATCTAAGTTTCACAATATGAGCATTTGGATCTAACCAGCAATCAATTGACTCTGGAAGTAAAAGCTCAGAAATTTGCAGAAAAGTGTCAAAGCTGCAAGTACAGTTAATTTGCAGTTGCTGAAAGTTTTTCATGGCTCATCAGTCTAGCAAGGAAACTTAGTTCTTCAGAGTCAGAATTTCAGGTAATTTTTTCTTCTTGCTGATCTGATTATCAGGATTATTTAGATACTTTGCTTAAATCTGTCTTCATACTGATCAGCTCAATTTGGGCACCCATGCAGCTTTATATTGTTACAGATCTCTCAAGTAATATCTATTAACTGATGTTAGCAGAAAAGTTAAAACCTTTGGAAATATTTTCTAGTTATTTTGTCTAAGTCCTTTAACTGCCAAAAAAAAAAAAAAAGAAAAAAAAGATAATTACAAAATACTCACCTGGAAGTGCTATGCAGAGATTTGTGGAAATGTGGCTTTTTAAGAAAGAATCAAGATTATGTAGCTCTTAATTGATGAGAACTGAGCAGTGATGTAACCATATTTATCCCATATGAAGTTTATTTCAGGCTAAAACAGCAGGATTGGGTGTATTGTCTCTTTCGAAAAAAGTCTAATGATGTCTTCTCTTTTTTGGAAAATCAGTTTGAGAAAAGATTGAAAACTCTGTGTTCCGTACTATCACCTCATTCATGCCATTTGTATCTTTCTTTCTTTTTCATTCTTTTTCATGGTTTCTGCCAGACTTTCCTACTTAACTCTCACATAAGTGAGAGGTCATTGTTTGTGTAAGTACTGCAAAGTAGCATTCATATTAACATATGAATGTTGTAGACATTTTGTGTTCTACTTACAATCCTCTACAACTCTAGTATTAAGGACCATCCAAAAATTATGCAAAACCCTTTCAAAAAGCTGTTATTTCTGAATATTTTTTTCCTCACACTATCATAGTTTGTAGTTAATAGATGTATCATTAGTGCTATTGATTACTGGTTTTGTGGAAAAAAAACAACTAATGTAATATAACTGTATCTGATGTTATTCAAATAGTCTATATTTTATATAGACTATTATTAATATATAGACAGTCCTATAAGCAGATAATAGCCAAAGCACCAGCAGTTCCACTATTAATGGCTATGCTTAGAGTTGGTAAATCCACCATAAAAGTGCTTGATATGAAGAATGTAAAATTATTTCTGCTTCTCTGACTCAGTAAGACAGCCATCTCTATAGGCATGTCTCACAGTGAGGGAGTCCTCTTATTTCTCTTCTAGCATTTGGTGGAAAGCTGAAAAGACCCCTGCATGTTGTTTTGGTTGCCACACATGCTGACATAGTGAATCTTCCTCGGCCTACGGGGGGAGAGTTCTGCTATGACAAAGACATGTCATTGTTGAAAGAAATCAAAAACAGGTAAGTGGGGAGTGCATCTGTATGTAGTGTTTAAACATGTTAATTGGAAAGAAAAAATACCAAAATGCATATGTAAAAGGTTTTTATATGTCTTAAGCGTTATGATACTATGATATTTTAAATATGTTCAGGAAGCCTGTATTGTACTAAAATTGAAATATTTACCGCTAAAATGAGCCAAGTGTTGTCAAAATTAATTGTGGCTTAGGAAGTCTCACTCTGTAAACACTAGGGTACATCCAGAGGCCCATTTCAGCTTTCTTTCTAGTGTGCTGGTGTTCAAGTTTTGCACAGTCTCAGAAAAGTGAGCAGTTCTCAGCTAAAAATTCTGGATGCAAAAGAGGCAACTTTACGAGAGAACCACGCTTTGCTCTGAAGTGATTTAGGGATAGGTATGAAAAAAGCCTAAATGAGGCCTGGAGATACTCCCTACACAGTTTGCAAAAAGCTGGACATTATAGAGTCACACAGGTGACAAGGTCATCCAAGAGGTACCTAGAAGTTAGGGAAACTTCTAGCATTCTTCAGCAGATATCTGGAGCACGTACTAATGGTAGATGGAAATAGGGAATTTTTCATGAACATGCTGTTGTTTAAAGTAACGATAACTTGTGTTCACAGTGAGCACACAAGTGGGTAGCATGTGCTATGAGAAACCATTCATACCTGTGAGCACAGACACTTGTCTGGACTGTACAAGAAACAGATGTAGGAATTCCAGCACAATACTGGTAGGGCAGTATCTTGATCTATTGAAATTAACTGATAGAAAATACCTGTGTGTAGTCTTTGGTGTTGGAATTCTTTTAAATGCAAATCTCTTCAGAACTCAGAAAACAGATTTGTGTGGTTGAAAAGTCAAAAGCAAGTGAGAAGAGAGCTGGTGTCAAGAGCAATGACAACTGGACTATTTAAAGTGAGAAGAAGGAAAGCAACAAACACTAAGACCTTAAAAATAATTAATTCCTGTAATCCCTTCTCTAGTAAAACGTTTTGGTTTGTATTTCCAAGTCATGTGATGCAGTTATAATTTTCTTCCACATCTTCAACCATCATCCTGAGAGAAAACAATTTTCTCTCAATATCTGCTTATTTTCAAGACAATTCAAGACAGCTATGCTGTCTGTTATTATAAAATATCTTAGCACAATCATAACTTTATCATTCCTTGAAGAAAAATATCTCTTGTGAAATTTAAGACTGAAGTACAACTGTATTAAGAAATAAACTGGATTTGAGACTAAGTAGACAATAATTTTTGTCTTTTAGATTTGGAAATGATTTGCAAATTTCAGAAAAGTTATTTGTCTTGGACGCTGGAGCATCAGGGTCTAAAGATATGAAGCTTCTCCGAAATCACTTGCAAGAAATAAGAAGCCAGATAATTTCTGTAAGTAATGTCCAGTGTCCTGTGTTGGATCAGCCAAAATGTGAACATCATGTTTAATAATTTACTGTAAATTTCGAACTTACATTGTGAAGCATCTAGAAATAAGAGCTGTTCCAATATTTTTAGCAGCATGCTTTACAGGTCAGGTGATAAACAAACTCCTGACATCAAAGATTCAGTCTTTATTTTGAAAATTGTAGCTGTTTTCAGCAGGTCACCAAAATGCTCTCTACCGAAAGAAAGCAATTTGAGATTTTCAGTTCAAAGTCATAGTTTTGTATTTTGATTGGCAGTGATTGGATTCCAGCATTGGCCCTTTTTTGTTCTTTTTTTTTAATCAGCATTGTATTACAGAGAAACAGAGAAATATATTATAAATATATTTCAGGCAAATACATTTTTCTTAAATTAAACATCAGAGTAGGACAGTTTCCTCAACTGTTATAAAGATAATGAATATGTATTAATTTTTAACTGCCTTTTTTAACTGAAAAATTTTGCAGTTGTATATGTATGTGTAGGTATATGTATATGAGACCAAAGGTAAAGTAACCATGGTTTGCTGTTAGCATCATGAATCCACAGAGACTTCCATACTAAGGGTAATCAAGTCAAATTTTTATGTAGCCTGTGCTAAATGGATTTCTATTACTTCATACCAAGGGCCTTCTTAGTTGTGTTACACACTAACAAGATTTTCTGCAGCTACTTCTGATAGGTATTTTTTAAAGTTAATTAAAAATGAATGTATTACTGAGTTCATTCTGTGGGTTGAGGAAAATATTTAGTTTTATGCAAAATTCAGCCTACTTTACATTCCCAATGGTCTCTTGATTTAGTAGGCTTTCCTTCTCTGAAAAAACTTTATTGTAGCTGTGATCACTGGCTTGAAATCTAAAAAGGATTTTGCTGCATAAGAAGTGCATGCTGTGGCTTGAGAGTGTAGGAAGAAGGTATCAGTGAAGTCTAAGACAGTCAATACATGAAAGTACCATTTTTGCTCCTTGTCTGGTACCGTGCTTTCTCACCTTTTGAAGTAAATTGGTCCTGCAGAGGTATTTATGGCTACAAATTTTAAATAAATTTTGATAATTTCAGTAATAAGAGCAACTTAAAAATGCATGAAGGCAACTCATGGTGATATTAGGAAAGTTTGCTTATTTCAGCCTTTCCCAAATCTTTGTTCGTGAAGCCTAGCCATGATGATGATGATGATTGCTTATTTCAGTGAAAAAGTGGTTTCTGGAATTCATTTTTTTAAGAAGAGGTAAATTGATCTTGTGGAAAGTGAATGCCAGATGATAAAGGTCCAGCACAAGGGGAACTCTTTAGGTCTAAATATACATTATGAATGCATTAGACTACCATTAAAAAAACAAAACCAAAACCAACAGCATCATCAACAACAACAAAACCATCAGCACCAAACCAATAGTACCATTATTCTCAAATGGATGTTTTCTGTGCTTCATTTAAGACTTGCCCACCTATGACTCATCTCTGTGAAAAAATAATCTCCACACTGCCTTCATGGAGAAAAATTAATGGACCCAACCAGCTGATGTCCTTGCAGCAGTTTGTGTATGACATACAGGAACATCTTAATCCCCTAGCAAGTGAAAACGACCTACGGCATATTGCACAGCAGTTGCATAGTATAGGAGAGGTAAGTGTTTTTATCTAAATTGAATCTCTTCATTAGCAAGGTACTCTTCTGGTAGAATATTGCTTTATGAGCTTAAGCAAATGTCTGAAGTTGGGGTTTTTTCTCTCCTTCTTAAGACATCATAAGAAGTAGAGACTGGTTATTAATGCTTTTTGTTATTATTATTGTCTTCTGGCTTCTATTTCATTCAACATAATCTCTTTGAGACAGGAAGAATTACAGTTTATAGCTACAGCTGTAAGAATATAAAATGCCCAGAAAGGATCCATATGCCATCACCTTCAATGAAGTGTTCACTGCATATGAGAAATTTATATGTGTCCATTAGAAATTGAATCGTAGAATAACACCTTTGCATAAACAGCTTGCAGAGCATGACTAGGCTTTCCAGCTGTTGGGCTCTAATCATTCCATTACTAGTGGAAATCAAGAACCAAATCTGTTTTCTTTTTCTGAGCACTTGCCAGATATTAAAATGCACTGTTTGTTTTTCTCCCGTGAGCAGTGTTAATCAAATTATTTGGTTATGTTAGGAATGTTAGGAAGGAGAGAATGTGGGCTATTACCTTGTAATACAGTATGTAATACAGATGTAAACAGTAACTTTCATATTTATAAACAGATAAACATTATGCAGAGTGAAACTGTCCAAGATGTTGTGCTTCTGGATCCTCGCTGGCTCTGTTCAAATGTCCTTGGAAAAATCTTGTCAGTGGAGAACCCAAAAGCCCTCCATCACTATAGAGGCCGATACACTATAGAGGACATCCAGCGTCTGGTGACAGATAGTGACGTGGAAGAACTGATACAGATTTTGGATGCCATGGATATTTGTGCAAGGGACCTTAGTAGTGGAGCAATGGTGGATATTCCTGCTCTCATAAAGACTGACAATCTCCATAGGTCTTGGACAGATGAGGAGGATGAAGTGCTGATTTATGGTGGTGTTAGAATCGTTCCTGTGGAACATCTTACCCCATTTCCTTGTGGAATTTTTCATAAAGTTCAGGTGAATCTATGCAGGTGGATTCATCAGCAGAGCACAGAGGGAGATGCTGATATACGTTTGTGGGTAAACGGATCAAAGATTATGAATCGCGGAACTGAGCTTTTAGTGCTGCTAGTCAATCATGGTCAGGGTATAGAGGTCCAAGTTAGAGGACTGGAAACAGAGAAGATCAAGTGTTGTTTACTTCTGGATTCTGTGTGCAGCACCATTGATAACTTAATAGCAACAACCTTACCAGGTCTTCTGACTGGGAAATACTACCTTAGTCCTCAGCAGCTGAGGGAACATCATGAGCCAGTAATGGTCTACCAGCCTAGAGACTTCTTCCGTGCACAGAGTCAAAAGGAGACATCACTAACTAACACTATGGGAGGATATAAAGAGAGCTTTAGCAGTATACTGTGTTTTGGGTGTCTTGATGTCTACTCCCAGGGAAGTCTAGGAATGGATATTCATGTTTCCGATCTGAATCTACTTACCAGGAGAAAATTAAGTCGACTTTTGGATCCACCTGATCCTATGGGCAAAGATTGGTGCCTTCTGGCCATGAACCTGGGCCTCCCTGATCTTGTTGCGAAGTACAATACAAATAATGGAACACAAAATTACTTTCTTTCAAGTCCAGTTCATGCCCTTCTGCAGGAATGGAGTAATGCACCTGAGAGTACTGTAGGTATCCTGATGTCTAAGCTGAGGGAATTAGGTCGCAGAGATGCAGCAGATTTTTTACTGAAGGCATCTTCTGTATTCAAAATTAATTTAGATGCTAACGGTCAAGAGGCTTATGCTTCCAGTTGCAACAGTGGCACATCTTATAACTCAATTAGCTCTGTAGTGTCACGGTAAGAGGAAGTGTTTTGCATGGACGTCCTTTTAAATTGCTGAAAGGATAAAAGATACAGTATAAGAGTTACAGTGCATACTAATTTATGAGATTTTACGTCAAAGGATCCTTCTCTAGTGCCACCTTTTATGTGCATAACCTTTCTGCTCCTAACTGTGAATCATTGCTCTTTATTAAAAAGACTGTTGTACTTCTGGTGGTTTAAAGCTATTCCTGATACAGAATGTGCTGCTTAATACTGCCATTTCAACTGGAAAGTCTTAACTTTTGGATTATATACTGCAACTGTTTTATATAATTCTCCCCATAAAAGGTAGGGGGAGAATAATAGCACATATTACCTTAAATGTGTATTTCTTACACCCTTTTTTTTCTTTTCACTGTGTCCCCTGCTTGAAATTTTTTAATATTTTTAAGGAGCAAAATCCACCATTTGTGATCAATCTGACCAAATTTAAGCGCATTGTTTTCAGCTGAAAAAGCGAGTGCCTTTTGCAGAAGGGAGGGTGCAGTTGATTTGAATGACCCTGCTGGAGTTACAAGAACATGCTACCTCTGTTTCACTTAAATTGTCTGCATGCTTATCATTGCAAGTGGTGCTTGCCTGTTAATTTTTCCTGCACTTCTAAGACATTGGTGATGACTCACACAGAGCATTCCTGTGCCAGTACTATGGGTATAGACATGTGATACCTAATCAAATTCAATTACAGTCAGATCATAATGTGAAAATCTCTTAAACTTGCCAATTATCATGCTTCATTATTTCCATGCACCTCAGGTAAAAGTTCATATCATTACAGAGTTCAAAAAACACAAGTGTTGGATACTGCAGAATAATATTGTCTAGCTGTCAGTTGTAATTTGTGTATAACAAAGGTTTTCTACTATTAGATCCTGCATTACTTACTTCCTGTACTTGAAAACTTTGATGGGGATAAAAAAAAAAGGAAGCAAGGTTTCTTGCAGTGATAACTTTAAAATTGATATGAGGGAATATGACCCATTCTCTGTTCTAAAAAGCATGTAATTTTCATGGTGCGATACGTGTTTGTTTATATATATTGTATGTACATACATTAAGACTATTTTTTCCTTAATCTTACAATGTAGTAAAATTTTAAAGGAGTTTTCTACAAATAAACTGTTGCTTGTTGCATCTTAGTTGATCATATATATTCTGTTGCTGAAGAGTACTGAACCTTCTTTTTTCCTTAGAGTCACGATTGTGGAGAGGCATTGCCCGCCTTCTGAAGCTCTGGGAACCTCCTGTTTCACTTCAGAGGGATATCTTAGTACACTGCAGCAATATTTATTTATTTGTTAGCTGCAGAGGTGGTCCCCATGCAGCATAGGGATTTGCATTCATTTTGACAAATGGCAAGGCAAAGCAGATTGGTACATAGCCTTTTTGTGTTTTTTTACAAAGGAAACTAAAACAGCAGATGCGACATTGTCATCAGGAATCCTCCAGATTATGCTGTGCTGCAGAGGGAAAGAACACTGCATTAGAGCCTGTGCTGCAGTAATGGTCCTTTACATTAAAGATCCCCTCATCACACAAGGAACTGTGCTGGTGCTGCTTATTTAAACTCCCAGCATCACTCCCTGATAGCTGCACAGTCTCAATATGACACTTTATGCAGGCAGCTTTGCACAATACCTCTACCCTGTGTATGATGCAAAGAAATTAAGTGGGCCCTTCTTAAAATGCTAGTTGCTGTTTCCCAGTGCCTTTCTTTGCATAATGTAGCCTTGCTTTATTAAATACTTCTCTGGGTATTACTAGGCTCCTTAGTTAAACATTTTTTTGAAGTCTAGTCCTCAGTAAGAGGTATGGTTAATGAGAAGTCCTACCCTGAGGTGTCTGTGCTTTGATATTCTGCCTCTGACAAACTGCATTCAGCATCTTCCACTGCTACTCAAAGTGGTTCTGGGCAGAGCCCAGCTCTATGCAGCCCATATTTGCCTGTCAATTTATGGCCACCACCATGCTTCCCCTTCCAGCTGTGGACATGTTCTGTACTTCTGTCAGTGGTATGTGATGGGTTCTTCATGTCATAAAACTTTATACTTTTCAACCAGAAAAGTATTCCCCCCCTGTCTGCTTCCCCAGATGCTTTATGTGCGCTCAAGATGCATGGTTGACTTACCAACACTGATTCATTACTTCTTTTACTTTTTTTTGTTTGTTTGTTTTACCCCTCCCAACAGCATGTTCCTGACAGTTCTCTGCTTTCATTTACTGTAAAATGCAGCCCTGGGAGTATAAATGACTTAGTGGATGCTATGATGGATCTTTGACCAGCAGTAACAGCCTCTTGCAACATTTCCAGTTTTCATGGTAATTGGCTCAGGAAAGTGAGTCACAGTCATAGGATAGCTTTGGATTGCTTTGTTATAAATCCTGTGCCACGGACTAAAAAAAAACTTTTGTTTCCTAAATTACAGTTAAATAAAAGAAAAGGCTGACAACGTGATACAAGTGGGCATCTCTTCAGTTGCTTCACTTTTATTGATTCTCTGTTTTGTTTTGTGAATGCAGCCAGGAGCAGAGCTGCATTCCAGGACTGTGTTTAAAAAATACACTGATCCTCCCTGACTTACTCCAGAAATGGAGAAAATGCAGGTCTTTGCAAAATCAAAAAGTTTAGCCATAAATGTACAGAATGTATAGTTCATGCAAGGAAGATGCTAAGCTCAGCTCCTGACAGTGAAATAACTGAAGCTAGATACTTATCATCCTTGTAGCTTCAGAGCAGAGCTGCTGAAACACAACTTTGAGCATAAAGCAGATGAGGCCCAATTTTCATTTTGTATTCAAAATCCATAATAGAGACAAACTCAAGCTTGCAACACAGCTGCTCAAGGCCAAGGTGCATTACAGGTTGTCTTGCACTTTAGAAATGTATTCTATTGACACCTGTACTCAAATTCTGAAGAAATTTTCTGAAGAAGATAGGGAGAGAGCAAGCATTTTGGTGCAAATCAGTTTTCCAGTGTTTTCTCCCTGGCATGCAGCAGCATGCATAGGATAGGAAAATATTGCTATTTGTATTGGGTTTTACTTGTTGTATTGTCTCTGGGAGTTCTGCTGCTGACCAGACTGCTGAGTTTGGAAAGACACAAGAGATTGGTGGCAAATGATTTTGAGGGTGGGACAAGGGCATCCAGGGGTGGCCTTGGGTAGAGGTAGATATATACAATTCTTGTCACCTTTAAAGAGTGTAAACTGGAGACAGCCACAGGTTTTAAGATCTTTGGGATTCAAGTGATTGAGAAAGAATTATGAGACTATGGTGATATAGAAACACCCAAATGTCAAGAGATTGACAGAGGCAGGAGGCTTAGAAAGGAGCCAGAGCACAGTTTCCTAAATGGTCAGGTCTTTACAGAGAGCAACAGTGAAGCTGTGCTGGAACCAGTTCCAGGTCCTAAACTCTGCTGTCTGCATTCCTCACTCTAAGGAGTTAATTCAATGCAACCTTTTTATTGCAGAGATGCTGTGTTGCTACATCATTGTTTAAAACGGGTGCCTAAACTTGAATCACATCACTATTTCAGCTTTGCCAATGAAATGGAGGAGTAATCCCCAAGCTGTAACTCCAAAGAAAGTAAATGAAGCATGCTGCTGGCTGAAACCTCTCTTTAACTCAGAGGAAATGGAGCAGTGCAGTACCTTCTCTGAAGGTGGCCTGAAAGCACTCTGCACAATATGAAAATTTATTTCTATTTGACTTTTTGTTGTTAAACTCATTCCAGCAGGTCACAAATAAACACCAGGATCAGAAATTCACTCACCTTTCTTTTCAGTCATTGTCTGACTCGGAAGTCAAGAAAATCAGTTTCTAACAGTGCCTAAGGTACTTGGTTTCCAAAAGGGTTACTGCCAAGCCATTCAGGCTTTTCATGTAGAAGTATTTGGATCTCCAAGAGTCAGATGAGCTGTATATAGAAGAGGACTGATTGTGTTCCTCCGTGTGGCTATACCATTTATCATAACAAGCTCTACAGGAACAGTGGGACCAGCAGCTAATACTGCCTCAAATCCAGATGAAGATCTTGGTGGACCTGTTTCAGTTTTGCATCAGCCAAACTGACCTAGCATTTCTGCACCAGCTAGAGTACTCTGGGTGAGGTCCAAACACAACACGTGCATATTTAAAGATCGTTCTTCAGAATGCTGCTGAGTCAGGTGGTTGTACCTTAAAAATCACAGGCCTACCATGAGAAAGGGCAAACCTGGACCATCTTGTCCAAACTCTGGGTCCTGCTGTCACCAAGCCTAGAACACCTACACTGCTAATATGCACTCGCATCACCTAGGCAGAGAGGAAGACTAAGATGTGGGCAGGGTGATAAGGGGCTTCGAACAGGAGTGATGCATGGACATGCTGCATCTTACATGGATTTCTTGAGAAATAGATGCTGACAGCCTGGGCCCACACTTACTTCTGCAGAAATGTGTAACACCTGCTGCAGTGGTGAAGACATTTCTGGTGGCTATGTGTCGAGGCTCATGAATACACATTCTGTTGTATCTGCACAGGATCCAGAGTGCAGCTTGGTGAGGCATCTTCCTTGTGGGCTTGGGCTAGGTCACAGCTGAGTGTAACAAACTGGCAGAAGCTCTGGGCCTTATGTGTTGGAAATATAGTGAGGATGCTTCTGCTGCACCTCAGCAGATTAGAGTGGGAGGGAGGATTGGAATTTGCATGCTGTGTGAGACACCAGCATGTTGTGCACAGGGAGGGGTGGGTAGAGTTGTGCTGTTCAAAACTTCTGTCAGGGAAACATGGGAAAGAGGGAAGGACTCTTGCATTAGGGGGGTTAGACTGCTGATGTTAAAAGATGGTGTGTGTATGACTCTTTGAGTCACCTTGTGCTTGACTTTTTGAGCTAAGCTGCTCACTGCATTGCAAACTCTGCTATTTTAGCCTGGCCATAAAGAAGTATAATTTGATTAGTCTGTTTCTCCCTAAAGATGAATCAGTCTCACTTGCACATCCCCTACACAGGACTGCTTACAAGTCAAAATGTATGTAGCAATCAGTTAAGCAAAGGGAGTGCAAAGAGGTCAGCAGCAAATCCTACTATCACTAAATTTACCTAAAAAGGACTATAACTTTGTAGCATTTAGCATATTTTTTTTTAGTTGTTTCTATTGGTTGCAAATGTGAGAAAAAATATTCTGTGCAGTGTTGAGTGTAATCAATTATTGTTAAGCCAATGCTTCTATTATTGGAAAAACAGAGGGAGGGTAAGGTCTGGAATTTTGTGCCAAAGGCAAGGTATCAATGCATATGAAATCCAGTACCAAGCCCAGGACAGAAGCAGATCCTACTTTCCTAAACCTATAGTGTGGATTATTTCATCATTCCTAAGGTATGTATCTGCAGAAGAAGCAGGAAAGATATTACTTTGGAGGCATTTTTCATTAAAGGCTTTGATAGCTAGGATTAGACTCTGATTTGGTTATACATAAGGAATTAACGACCATCCTCTATAACTAGAACAATTTGAAAAAAGTTTTCTACAGACCCATGGGACTGTGTTGGCAGCTGGAGAATGTTGTAGCAACTTAGCCTGGAAAACATGGAAGGAGGTGAGTCACCATAACCAATTTAGCATCAGATAGGATGAGATAAATTTCCTCAGTTGTTCATGGTCAGAAGGAAATATCACCTGCAGCTGCTACACCTGGTAGTCAAGTGCCAGTAAAGATAATGGAGGAAGCTTAAGGCATGACCTGCAATATCAGTCTGATTATAGAGGTTTAGAAAGCAGCTGCATGAATATTTAAACTGATGGATTAACACAGTTTCTATGTAAGTTTCAGGAACTGAATCAAGGCCCAGAGCTTGCAAGTGCTACTGGCAAAAGAAGGATTTCCATACCATTTTACCCCAGGTAATAAGACACAGCTGAGAAGTGTTTTGCAAAGCACTTGTTGCTACCTTCCCAGGAAAATATGAAACGTAATCTATTGCTGTCAATTTGGGTGTACAGGACAGATATAAAGACAGAATACAAAGTAACCACATGACTTCCCATTTGCCATTCATTCTCCAAGACCCAGTGTTGGTTTGTACCTAGCAAAATAGGGAGAGTAACTTTCAGGAGTGTTACAGGAAGGAATACTTCCACAGTTGTGATTTAGCTTTATGCAGTT